CCCCTCAGAGCCCCTGTCTCTGACAGGACACCCCCTCAGAGCCCCTGTCTCTGGCAGGACATCCCCTCAGAGCCTCTGTCTCTGAAGGGACACCCTCCTCTCTGAGCCCCTCTCTCTGGCAGGAGCCCCTCTGAGCTCTGTCCAGCACCATCCACTCACACTCTAGTCCAAGCTTCTAGACGGTTTCTTTTTTCCTTCTTTGTTTTTTCAACTTTTAAAAATGGGTGTTTTGAATGAAAATATATAGAGCAATTTGGTTTCCCATTCAACTACTCATACGTATCTTGTTTTACATGAATTACCATCCCTGACATGTCACAGAACTCCCACTTCTCCCTTGTGGTTCCCCTTTCCTCTAATCCTTCTCTGTCCCTTCTTCTGAGGTGGAAGTTTACGTGGTCCACTCACCCTCTGGACTAATTGTCTCTCAACATCTTTGCTTTTCTTCTCTGTTCTTTGTTTCGGGTGGGAGAGGCCAGACGTCGCACCTTAGAAAGCTGCCTACAAGACGTTAAGTTCTCAAAGTAGGGAGAAGAACATTGCTTTTGTGGGAGATGCCATGTCAGTTGGCCTTGAGGTCCCCAAGACTGTGGTTCTGAGACCCCACTACCAGCAAATCATCCCCTTGGGGTGTTTGGTTACAGTGAGAAGTTCTCTAGCCCCCCCACGGACCCTACTGAATGCGAGGATGTATTTACAGCTTGTGCAGCATAGAGCATCACCAACCAGTACCCGTCTCTGTGGCCATAACGTGGTCCCAGGCACTCCCATCTGGTGCGTCCGTTGCTGTCTGTGTGCCCTCTGTCTGCATGTCCTCTGTTTGTGTGTCCTCTGTCTGTGTGTCCTCTGTGTTCCTGTGCCTGTGTATCCTGTGTCTGTGTGCTATGTCTGTGTGTACTCTGTCTGTGTGTCCTCTGTCCGTGTGTCCTCTGTCTGTGTTCCAGTGTCTGTGTGTCCTCTGTCTGTGTGCCCTCTGTGTTCCTGTGTCTGTCTGTCCTCTGTCTGTGTGTCCTCTGTGTTCCTGTGTCTCTGTGCCTGTGTCTGCATCCACACACACTTCCCACTTGGCTCACTGCATTTCTCCTGCCGTTCCCTGAGACTCCTCGTTTGTATTCGAGTTGCATTGCTCACCTCCTTTCCTCCCTCATCTTGTGTCCATTGAGTAGTTGGTGATGGGTCCTTCCTGGCCTTACCTCTCCATCCCTGGTGTGTAAACCTTCCTATGGCATTTTCTGTCAGTTGGCGCCATGACATCTGTCCTGTGGTGACTGTCATCTCACATGGCACAAGGTGTTCCACTAAGTCTTTGAGACTTTAAGATGCACAACATCCCACGGTGGGCACACGGTGGAGTTGGCTTGCCCATACCTCTGTTGATGAGTGAGGGCCGGAGGAGATGGCCACTGGGCATGGACACCCGCTGGACGACGCTGAGGATGGGGAGGTGGGGGCACCCAGGGCTGAGCTTGTGTGTGTGTCATATTTCACAGGTGTGTCAGCCTGCAGGTGCAGGTCCTCCAAGGCTCTGTCCCCAGGGAGGCCGCTGAGAACTTGGTGCTGCTAAACAGGATGGATGAATGTCTGCTGGAGAGCGAGAGAAAGTTCACCCTCTGTGGCCGTCCGGAGAGCTGTGTGGATGTGAAGCTGCAGAGGGCAAAGATAAAGAGGTGACACCGCCCTGAACAGGCCATGTGCGCACACACGTGTATACCACATATACCACCACACCACACGTGTGCTGTCCTGGACTCCACAGAGCCCTGAACACGCCATGTGCACACATACATGTATACCACATATACCGCTACACCACACGTGTGCTGTCCTGGACTCCACACAGCCCTGAACACGCTATATGCACACACATGTACACACCACACCTACCACTACACCACACATGTGCTGCACTGGACTCCACACAGCACTGAATACGCTATATGCACACACACGTGTACTCACCACACTGACCACTGTACCACAAGTGTGCTGCCCTGGACTCCACACAGCCCTGAACATGCTGCGTGCACACATCACTCTACACATGTACACATCACACACATCACACGTATCACACATCACACATACATGCCACACACTCATGTACACACGTGTGCACACACCACACACATACCTGAAACACCTAATTGCTGCTCAGAGATTACGTGCTTCCTACATGTCAGCACCACATTCCCTCAGACACACTCCAGCCCCCACATGGACGCTGACTCCTGCTGGGCTTACCTCCTGTCACAACCCCGTCACACCTGTGGACTCAGCTCTGGTCTCTGCAACTGGCTTCAGCCTCCGGTTCCTCTCATCTCTTGCACAAAGACTTAAATTTTGCAAAAAATTTAGTATAATGCCTGTGTATTGTGCTATTCAAAATTTGAACTACTGAACTTTTGGTTAGCAGCAAAATTATTACTGCTGCACTTCCAGGACCTCCCATGTGCAGTATGGTCTGAGACTCGCCCAGTACGTACTTAGGACTCATGATGTAAGAGGTGGGCAGTTCACTCTGTCTCGTAGAGCATCGCAAGTCAGAACTGACTAGACACAGAGAAGCGTGGCACAGGGCATGAGCATTGCTGTCTAACTCCACTCTTGTGTCGTAAAGGTTATGTGCCCAGAACGAGACAGATGAGGAACAGAAGACCGCGTACTATCTGGAAGCGTACAGCTTGGTGCAGAGCGCTGTGGCTGAGGAGGAGGACCTGTTTCTCAAGATTCAGGATCTACTGTCCCTTCAGGAAGTGAGTGTGCACTGTCCTCTCTCTGCCTCTCGGCCATCAGCATTTAGCTACACTCTATTGTCTTAACTAAGGAGTCTCGAAGGAGGTCCCTAACCGCCAACTGAAGGGTCAATGGCTCAAACCCTCTAGCCACGTCCAGGGAGAAAGATGAGGTTCCCTGCACCCAGAGAGATTACACCTGGGAACCTTTTGAGAAGCTCAGCTCTGTCCTGCAAGGTCACAGCATCACCACTGCCAGCATAGCTCTGTGCCTTTACTTACTCCCATTAACATATAAATGCACGCTTCCAACAACAACAACAACAACGTTATCAGCAGAAGCCAGCCAATTCTCCTGAATGGCTGATGTTTCGAAAAGAAGCAGATGGCTTGAATAGCGCTGTAGCTACTAGAGAAATAGAACATGTAGTTAAAAATCTACACACACACACACACACACACACACACACACACACACACACCCCACTAGGGCCATTGATGGATTTATTGGTGAATTCTACTAAAAATTTGGGAAAGAAATAATACCAATTCTACATAAACTCTTCCAGAAAATGGAAAAGGAATTTGTGAGGTTAGCACTACCCTGATACGGCATTACCCCTCCTCAAAAAGAACAACTTAAAATCCTGTTGCTGCTGCTGGCCAGCTCACAGTGACCCTGTGAAAGACAGGCCGGAACCTTGCTCTGTCTTGCATTGTCTCAGAATCTCAGGAGTGCCCTGCTGTCACTGTGGCAGACTCTCTGACGGTCCACCTCTCTCTCTAACCCTGCACTGTTCCCTGGATGATGTCCTTTTCCAAGGACCACCTGACAGGGGACCCAGAGTGTGTGAGACACAGTGTCCCCGTCCTGGACTCTGAAGAACATGCAGGTCGCACTCTGTCCAAGCAGACTTTTTATTCTTTGGAAGGTGCATGGCACACCCAGTCCTCCAGGCTAACCACACCCAGTCCTCCAGACTAACCACAACCAAAGGCCCCAGCTTTTCGTTGTCTTTGTTCATTGTCCGACTTGCAGATGCATAGGAAGGAACTGAAAATAGCAGACCCACATTTTTTCATGGATATAGGTTTGAAAATTCCAAGCAAAAATCTAACAAATTCAATCCAGCCATATATAAAAGGAGCTATGGTGGCCTAGTGGCAAGAATCTGTGCTGCAATACTAAAGGTGTGTGGTTCGAGGCCACCAGCTGCTCTGCAGAAGGATGGGCAGTCTCCTCCCATACCATTAATGAACTGCCTCTGAAAATCTGCCAGAGGTTCAGCTACGGGTTGGTTCCGACTCTGCGGTACCAGCAATAAACAATATCTAAAAAGGACAGGAGCGCTTGCCAAGCTGGGTTCCCAGCCGCACTCTTTAATAAACACTTTAGCTCACCATACGTGGAGATGGGAAGAGAATGAAAAATAAGAACCTTATGATCATCTCTGTAAGATGCAGAAAAGCATTTGATAAAGTCCAACATCTATGGCCTAGTAGTAAGAACCTGCACTGAAATCCTGAAGGCACGTGGTTCGAATCTGCCAGCTACTCCATGGGAGAAGTTTGGGCGATCTCCTCCCGTGCAATTAACAGCCTCTGAAAACACTTAACAACATCCCTGATTTAAAAATAAAAGAACAACCAGACTTTCTAGACAGGAACTCCCTCAAGCTGACAAAAGGCATTGACATAAAGCAGTGCAGCAAAAGAACTTTGCAAAAGAGCTTGGCAGTCAGCTGTGTAAAAGCTCAATGTGCTTGGACCATTGTGATGTCGTTAAGTGCCATCAAGTCGTAGACGACCCATAGTGACCCTATGAACCAAAGACCTGAACACTTGTATAACTTTCATCCTTTCTCCAGGTTCATAGGGTTTCCGGAGGCAAGCTACTTCAGAAGTGGATGCCACTCCGGCTTCCAAGCTTGTTTTAGTCGGGGAGCTCCACCCAACACTGTCCACCATGGGGAAACATTATCACACTTGACACATCAGTGTCACAGTGTTCAGCTCCACAGCAACCACGAGTTCCCTCTGTACAGCAAATGGACAAACCAGGGCTATACTGCTTAGAAGAATATTTGACCAAAAACAATTAAAACCAGGCATACTTGAACCATATGGCCCAGTTATTCCACTCCTAGATATTTACCCAAGAGAAAAGAAAAACATGCTCACTCACAACACTTGTTTATATCTTTTCATAGCAGATTTAACTGTAAAGGGGGGGACCCAATCTGCAAACTGCAGGTGAAGGGCAAGTTGGTACCTCCATGTAGTGGGACACACCAGAGGGGGAGGGGAATGGCCTGCTGGAGCAGCTTCTGCTGGATTGAACCTTAAGATGTTTACGCTGAATTGACTGAACCACAGGTGGAGGGGGGAGGAATCGTGCTCAGTGCGCACAGAATTCTAGACTCATTTTTTGTTTAGGGCAGAAAACAGATTAGTGCTTTCTACGTAGGCTGGATATGAGTTGAGAGGTGCTGGGTGAAGGGGGTGTTAGGAAGGAATGGCAGACAATGTGGGGAGATGGACAATTACTACCCTAATTGTGGCAGTGGTTCACGAGTGTGTGCATGTGTCAACTCGCCACGCTGCACACTCCAGTGTGAACTCCAGTGTGAACACCAGCCCCTCCCTCTGTGTTACCTTGGCTAACTGCGGCCCTGCACGTTCCAAAGGCTGCAGGCCTTTTATGGGGGAGACATCTTCCTCCTCTGATTGGCTGGTGGATAAAATTGCTGACCTCTCAGTTACCCACCCAGTAAGAAATGCACTGTGCCCCAGGGCTCTGCGAAGCTGCTCGAGAGGGCAGCTACAGCACCCTGACCTCGGCCTGGCCTGTCCACTGCAGACCACCAGCACGCCGCTGACGAGGAAGCTGGCGCAGCTCAAACTGCACCTGGCCGAGGTGTCCCTGGACATGCTGCAGCTGGCCTGGGCTGAGAGGTGGGAGGAGCACTACGAGCAGGGATCCCTGGACAAGCTGCTGGCCAGTTACCTGCAGAGTGCAAGGGACTACACGGCCGTCGGCCTGGTGACCACCCTCGCCCTTGTGCCCTGCTGCCCTCAGGGGAGGGCTTTCTTGTCTCTAGGCCTCTGGCATGGAGAGGGTTAACACTGAGCGTGCAGGGTGTCCCCAAAGCCTTTGACCACAAGAGTGTCCCTGCCGCCACCAGGCAGCTTGCAGACTTCTCAGCCAGCCTGAAAGGCACCTCCAGCATGGAGGATTTATAGTGGCTGTGGAAGGTTCTGGCCTTTCCAGCCAACCACTGACGGGGGCTTAATTGGCTAATAAAACAGAGGTCTCACTAGAAATTGTTTCCTATCAGACATTTACGACTTCCCCTCCCAAGTTTGCTTTGACTTGTTCTGGAAGCATGGGGGAGCTCCTTCAAGGAAAATCATGATTTGTTAAAAAAAAAAAAAGGTTAATTTACAAGACTGTATTTGTTTTGAAGGAAACAGTCTTTCCTTTTAGGCATCGGGAGTCCTGAAGTGTGAGTGGATGGGCTGGTGTAGATTTGGGTTGACCAAAGCTGTCCTGGTGCCGAGCTTGGTGACTTGTGTGCTTGTCACTGACCACATTTGTGTAGACCTGAAGTAGCTATCCAATCTCGAAGCCTTGGAGACCCCTACCCAGGACAGGTCATCCTGGAGAACCCCCCACCCAGGACAAGTCACCCTGGAGAACCCCCCCCAGGACAGGTCACCCTGGAGACCCCCCCACCCAGGACAGGTCAATCTGGAGACCCCCCAGGACAGGTCAACCTGGAGACCCCCCCACCCAGGACAGATCACTCTGGGGACCCCCCACCCAGGACAGGTCAACCTGGAGACCCCCACCCAGGACAGGTCACCCTGGGGACCCCCCCACCCATGGGCAGAGCATGAGGACTGGACTCCCAGGTGCCCCTCAGGGTGGGGCCAGGTGCCACCCCTTCACAGACTGACAGATGGCTGCATGATTTTTTCGGAAGAAATGGTTCATGTTGAAGCAGACACTGGCCCACACCACACTAGTCCAGCTGGTCAGTCTCCAGCCATTTTGTGGGGGCTGTGCCAACACCCGTGCCCGCATGCTGGGCCTGGTAGGGAGGATGCTGTACCAGTTGGCCCTGAACTCGAACCCCGTGAACCCCAGCTTCTACTGGGATGAGTCCTACCTGGTGAGTGCAGCCTAAGTTGGCAGAGTCCCTGCTCTGTCCTGGCAGGGGGTGCTGACATTAGGGGGTGTCCTGTGTGGTCGCTACTAGGAGGAAGTGTACATAGGTCAGCTGACCTCCAAACTGGGATCTGGGATGTGTAGGGGGGGTATCCCCACCTGAGGAGGGGTGGGGATGAGGACAGGTGAGATATAGCTGAGGGACAGTATGAAGGGACATATGCCCCTGGACACAGGACTGTGAGTACATGTGGAAGAAGAGAGGAAGTGCGTGTAGACCAGAAGTCAGGGGCTCCAGACCCTTCACCCACCAGTCCTGTCTCCTTGGGACTAATGGGCCCCAGTCCAGAGCAGGTCTGGGCCTCGGGGTGAAGCTCACAGGTAGTGCAGAGGGAAGAGCCTGCATGAGACCTCGTGCAGCCCTATAGGAACCCTGAGGGCACCCTGCACAGGACTGTGGGAAGCTCTACCCCAACCGAGACACTGGGTGGCACCATCCCATAATGTGGCAAACCCTGAGAACTGCAGTGTCCTGTCAGTCAGATCGGCAGGTCTAGGCCGTGTGCCCAGGGAATGGGGCCACATAGCTCGTCCCCAGGAGAAGGTCCAGTCAGACCTGAGGCCACCTCCCCCTGGCCCTCTAGGTGGAGATGAAGCCTAGCGGTGTCAAGGGTTTGGAGACCAAGGGGGAGGAGGGCAACTTTGAGGGGCCCAGCACAGACCTGCCAGCCTTCAAGACACTACCCAAGGGGCACAACCAGAAAGGTGCCCACCTCAAGGTACCCACCCTGCCCTGGTCCATGCAGGCCTGCCCACCCACCGACCCTTCCACCTCCCCTCCTCTGGGAAGCTGGCACCCCTCCCATCTCATCCTGCCTGTAGAGAGCCCCAGCCTGACTACCCACACCTTGTCCCACAGAAGCAGCTGGCACTGGCCCAGCAGTACCTGGCCCAGGCGTCCGAGGTGCTGCTTCAGGCCCTGCAGGCCTCACTGGGTGCCATGATGCTGGACGTGGCAGCGGCCACCAGCCTGGACCTGGCAGAGTGCACGGGGACCTTGGACCCACCCACTACCCTCCAGTTTTTGGCACTGTCTCAGGTACATCCCCTTGGAGGGGAAGAGCCATGTCCCCTGAGGAAGAGATGTGGGCAGTGCCAGCTGGGCAGCCTGGGTGGGATCACACACATGACCCTTCTTGTCTCCTTCAGAGCTGCTCTGCTTCGGAGATGATGCAGAGTGTTCTACTAGCCGCCACGGCCAACACCAGCAGCTCCCAGTTCGCCGCCCTCCTGCAGCTGCAGCACCGGCTGAAGGGCCAGGCCAGGTCACCAAGCCGTCTCTTCACCAGTGTGGAGCGGAGGCTAGCCACCACCAAGGTGAAGGGCCACAGGGGATGGTCTCCTTCTCGTCAGGGCCCACTGAAGCAACAGCTTTCAGTCCCGAAGAGAAACTCCCCAGCTGAAATAATGGTGGCCACATTACACCCCAAAACTGGCTTCCTGGGACAGAAACAGGGTGACCTGCCTCCTGGGTCTAATGTCAAAGACTGCACGTGTGCCTTCACACATGCACATTAGGGGCCTTCGTGCACACACAGGTGTGTCCGTGCCTTCACACACGCACATTAGGGGCCTTCGTGCACACACAGGTGTGTCCGTGCCTTCACACGCGCACATTAGGGGCCTTCGTGCACACACAGGTGTGTCCGTGCCTTCACACGCGCACATTAGGGGCCTTCGTGCACACACAGGTGTGTCCGTGCCTTCGCACGCGCACATTAGGGGCCTTCGTGCACACACAGGTGTGTTCATGCCTTCCCTGTGCCCACATATCCATGCACGCGCATGAGTACATGTGTGTCTTTGAGTGCACATGTATTTGCTTATGTACCTGAGTCTTTTATGCGTTTGTGTCTGAAGGAAAGACCTCAGCAGTAGGGATATGACTAGACAGTGTTTAATGTTCTATTTTCGTGTCAGTGCAAACCAGTATCCTAACATTAGCAACTGGCAAGGGAGTGGCCCGTGCACCTGCTGCCCCCTCGGGCAGTCCTTCCAGGGCTCCCAGCAGCGGCTCATGCCCACCCCACCTCAGGCCCCAGGGAGGAAGAACCAGACTCCACAGCCCCCTCACCCTGCAGGTGGGACCCTCATGTCCTAAGTCTGCCCATTTATTGTGCTGTGACAACAGGCATGGCGGAGTCTCCAGGTAACCACGCAACATTTCAATCTCCTGAGTGAGATTCCTCTGACCTTCAGGCTCATCTTTCTGCACCATTCCAGAGACAGGTGAGCCCTGTCCAGGTGCAGGCCCTTCCCCCTCATGTCCCTGGGCTGTTTCAGGGCTCTGACGGTGAGTAGGGTTCTCTATCCTGATCAGCAGCCAACCATGTGGATGGCCCCCAGCCGCGAGTCGAGATGTCTGACCCCCACGTGGCCCAGAGGGGTGGGGGAAGGGATGCAGCACCCAAAGTCTTTGTTTCCAGCACTGGGCCCCCCAGATCTTGTCTGAGGACCCTCGAAGGTCAGAACCTGATGCTCCGTGTGGGCTGGAGAACAGGAGCTGCCTTTGCGTCTCTCGGCTGCTGTCACGTGATTCATGGAATCGGGTCATGTGGCCGTACCGAGGGGTAGTGCTGATGTCCTGCTCAGTGGTCTGGAATGACACTCCAGTGGTCAAGTCCCCTAGGTCCAACCCATCAGCACTGTCACAGGACTGGTGCTCCTCAGGTCCTCACACACGCGTGCTCTCCTGTGCCGCCTCGGAGCAGGATGTGCCTGAACACTGGCTCCTCCCACAGGGCCCATCTGTACGGTGCCACCTTTGAGAGGCCCAAGTCCATCACGGCGCCCAAGGGCAAACAGCTACAGGTCGGCGGTGAGTGCTCCGGTTATCCAGAGGCTCCAGGAAGACCCAGGCTGGGGCTACTGCGCATATAGACGGGTCTAAGGCACAGACAGATGGGGCTGAGTCACTCAGGCCCACATGGCCAGCTTCTCTCCTCAGTGGGCTGTGGAGATCTCGCTTTAACAGCAGGGACCAAGGTGTCAGTGGAAGATGGCATCACACGGGGACCATGCTCAGAGCCCCCGATCCTGCTTGCTGTCCCCACAGGGGTGATGGGCAGTGTGAGGCCCTCCCCCATGCCAGGCGGGGCCAGCCCACTTCTATCCCAAACTCCCTTGTCATCTCCCACTGGGGGAGCCTCAGCCCTTGGTAAAGTGTGTGGTTTCACCAAGACGAGTGTCATTCTCCAATCTGAGAGCCACCTGACAGGAACTAGTCCTGTGGCCCGGCACGCTGGCCTGTCTCCTGCAGGAGGAAGAGCACAGCGGCGGACGGGGTCTGTGTTCACCCAGCAGCCTGGCACTGAGACCCTTGTCTCCAGGTGTTTTTTCCATGAGGCAGGATGTCACCTTCCTCTGGGGACACTTCTGGCATCTGGCCACAGACATTGAAGCCATGGGCACACCCCCCTAAAGCCCAGCAGCTCTGGGGACCATAGAGAGCTCTGCGGAGCTGACTCCAGGGGGCCTTGTCCTTTCCGGGTTTGAAGCAGCCCATCCTGGCTCTGCTGCTCCTGTGCCCCTTACTCCCTCCTTGTTCTGAACGTACCAGCTCAGGGCTGGAATGGTCAAAGCCAGACCCGAGGGCCTTTAAAGGGTGAGAGTTCTCCAGCTGCCCTTCCATGGAGCTCCTACTGGGGTTAATCCAGCTGTCACACTTGTGCAGAAACCCTCGACCTCAGTGAAAATGCTTCTCAGCCACGAAGCCCGTCCTAAATGCACTCCTGGCAGCATCCACACCTCACACACCTCACAGCACCCACCTCACAGCACACACCCTCACACACACACCCTCACACACCTGACAGCACCCACCTCACAGCCATCACACAGCACACACCCTCACACCCACCTCACAGCACACACCTCACAGCACACACCCTCACACCCATCACACAGCACCAACCCCTCACACGCACACCTCACAGCACACACCCTCACACACCTCACAGCACCCACCTCACACACACCTCACAGCACCAACCCCTCACACACACACCTCACAGCACCAACTCCTCACACACACGCACACCTGACAGCACCCACCTCACACCCATCACACAGCACCAACCCCTCACACACACACACCTCACAGCACACACCCTCACACACACACCTCACAGCACACACCTCACACCCACCTGACAGCACCCACC